TGGAAATTATACCACAGTAAAACTGACCAAAAATTACAAAGAGAAAAAAATCAACTCTTTGGAACCAAAGGTGAAAAAAAATAAAACACTATTTGCAGTAAGAATTTTTTAGGTGTAAATCAAAATGGGAACTACAGATTATTTTAAATTTGTGACAGTGACAGCATGAGAGTTATGTGATGTGGCCGGAGCTTTGCTGCAAATGAAATTTTAGCTTTAAATAATTTTGTTACCAGTTGGAGTAGAAATTAAACAACTCAAGGAGCTAGAATAATATTCATATCACTCACATGGAAAATAGGAAGATGTATTTACTTGTTTTCATTTAACAGATGCACATATGACATTTACAATGTACTATATCTTTATAAAGATAAAAACAAATAGGTGTTGATAATATCTAATTCTTTGAGATGATTGGTAAAAAATAGCCTGTGAAAGGCTAACTAAAAATAAAATCGAGCAAACATATCCTACATTACGGCTGAGGAGTGGAGAGATGTGGAGATTAAAAATGAGGGAATGCATTTCAAAACTACTGTAATAAAATTTAAAATCTTTATAAAGTGGATCATTATCTAAAAAACAAATCATCAGAAGGTAATTGTGATAGGATATCTGAAAGGATTCTTTCAGCCTTATTTCTCAGTATTCCCATATTTTAATTTTTCGCTCTAGCCAAGTGAGTCTGTACAGCGTTCCCTAAGCATAACTTGTTTTTTCCCTCATAGTCAGCATTGTTTACTTACTTTTCTCTGGTAGTAATGCCATTTTCTCTCTTTTCTATGTATTGAGAGGCTGTCTTTCAAGCAAGTACACATCCCATTTCCTTCAGGAAATTACCTCGGCATCTTAGCTGGAAAATAACACATCACAATACTCATCTGTCATTTATTGTGCTCTGTAGAATTATGTATCTTTTAATGCTATGTCTTCTTCTTCCTTCTGGAAAATAACTTCATTGAATATTTGCACTATGTATATGCCTTTCGATTACAGGGGAAACAAAATTTACTTTATGCGGAGTCAGAACTCTGGAAATAAGTATTTATTTGATTGCTCAAAGTAAATCAAGACAAGACTCAAGTTAGGAAAAAGTGATAAACTACCACTTCAGGTGAAGTTAGGATTCTTGGATGATAAATTTCTAGTTATATGTGTGTGAATGAAAGAGTGGATTCAGTCTTTTCTGCCTCAAGCTCTAGATAAATATATATTTTAAGAAAATGTGCATCTACTTAAGCCTCAGTATCTTATTTGAAAAATGGAGATAATACTATATTGAGTTTTTAGGTACATATGAGATAGTGTATACACCTGGCTTGGGACATATTCAACCCTGCATAGTGGTTACTTTCCCCACCTTTCAGATGATGTCACAATTACTTGCACCTATTAATTAGCTGTTTCCCCATTTGATATGCCTTAATATTTTGGTTGATAGCAGTTAGCATACTTAGATTGAAATAACACATAATTCATGTTTTATTCCAGTTTAGATATTTCTTTGTTCCCAAGCATAACCTGTATTAATTTGCTTTTTCCTCATTAGGACTATTGTAACTTGCATCTTCTACATTTTTTGTGAAGCAGTGTTTACTTTTTCACCGGTCATTGCTGTCTCGATTGGTATATGTTTGGCTAATTTTCTCATAGGTCACTAGGCTAATTCTTTAAGATTAGGACCCTTTGGATGAGCAGTTAACATTTGAATTGGTATTTTTCTCTTTTTTCCCTCCAAAAAGAGAAATGGACAAATTAAGTCGATATTAATGGATTGCTGTGGTGAGACCTGCCTAAGATTGATGACCTGTTGATGACTATCATCTGCTGGTTTAGGCAGTCTGGAGCCTGGTTAGACAGTGGCAGAGAAGTGTTATCTTGGATTTTTCAGGACCTTTGGTCAGAAAAGTCCATTAATATAAACAGCAAAAACAAATCTTTGAGTGTCTGGTCAAGTTATTTCCACAGTCTTTTTAATCATTCCTAAAGTTAAATGAGTACTCTACCTGAATTTATTTCGGCATTATATACCTCTTGAGGTACAGAGTTAGCCACCTCACTACCTTGTAGAAGTTTAATAGCCTTTCAAATTTAATTATTATTATTCTTACATTCCTGAAAAATAATAATCATTTTGAACCAGGTTTGTACTCTGAAGTGTTTTTATAGAACTGTTCTGTGTCCTATGGGGAAATATGTATTTTTTCAGTCTTTCATGATAGCATTTACAGTAATTTGAAAGAAGCAGTTTCAGAAATCAAAGTGTTACTGTACTAATGTTCCTGGTTTGTCACTGTGATAGCATGATTTTGTACTGGGAGAGGAAAAACATAGCCAAAGTTTTGGTTTATTGTAAAAATTAGCAGCAAAATAACTAACAGTGATAAAACTTTTTTCTTTTCAGGGCCAAGGAATATGAGAGTTTAATGCAAACAAAGAATTCTGGCTGTGACTCACCTTATAAAGCAAAGTGAGTATTTTATCCCACATTTCAGTTTGCCTTTTCTTCATTCTCTGCCTGTAACAAAAGTGTATCTAAGCCATCATATTATGCCTGTGATCCAGGGCTTTGTTTCTGATTCCTACATCATTCTCTTATCACACTGGTCTCCAACTAGAGGCAATTTTGACAGGGGATATTTGACCATGTCTGGACACAGTTCTCATTAGCACAGTTTGGGGAAAAGGTGCTATTGGCATCAAGTGAGTAGGGATCATGGATTCTGCTAAACATTCTTCAGTGTACAAGATAGCTCCCCACAGCAAAGAATTACCTTATCCAAAATGTCAATAGTGCTGAGATTGAGGAACCCTGGTATAACAGATTAGGCTGTGATGGTGATTTCTCTGAGGAGAACTCTTTAAGGATTGTTCCTAGGATTGTTCCAATACTTAAAGAGAAAAGGAATTCCCTAATTCTAATTGGATGAGATTTTAGATGATGTAAGAGATTTTAGATGAGAATTTAGATCTCATCGTTGGAGTGTAAGTGTAATTAAGCAATAGCTAGGTAACAAAACATTATCATTTTGCTCCTCTCAAAAATACTGCTAGAAGTCCAGTAAGAAAATTATTCACTTATACTGTTGATTGGAGTACAGATTATGTGTAGTCTTCTTGAAGGGCAATATGTATTAGCTTAAGAAGGTCTGCTTCAGACTTCAGGCTGCTCAGTAAATAACGCAAAGTGTGCCCAAATATTTATAGATAAAGATGACTATTTCACTGTTATTTATAACAGAGAAGTATTTTTTCTTTTTTTGTTAAAAATAGCTGAAATATTTTTTCTTTTTTTGTTAAAAATAGCAGTGAAGGGCCGGCCCGGTGGCATGCTCGGTAGAGTGAGGTGCTTGGGAGTGCGGCGGCGCTCCCGCTGAGGGTTCGGATCCCATATAGAAGTATTTTTTCTTTTTTTGTTAAAAATAGCAGTGAAGGGCCGGCCCGGTGGCACACTCGGTAGAGTGAGGTGCTTGGGAGTGCGGCGGCGCTCCCGCTGAGGGTTCGGATCCCATATAGAGACCGGTCCGCTCACTGGTTGAGTGCGGTGCGAGCGTGACACCGAGGGTTGCAATCCCGTTACCAGTCACGAAAAAAGACAAAAAGGAAAAAAAAAATAGCAGTGAAACAGTCAAGAAACAAATTTCTCAAATAACCCGTTTTTGGTGTAGGTATGCTACAGAATGTTAACATAGCCATTATTTATATTTACAATAGAAATATTTTTGTCTGTCAGAAATAAGATACCCATCAGATAACTACTTTTATTTATTATTGTTCTGGAAGTATTAGCCAGTGCAGTTCTAAAAGAAAGAAAAAAGGGATATAAAATATTAAAGGAAATAACAAAATTATCAAGATTATGATGGTACTGTATATCTCAAAGCCGAAGAGAATCATGTGAAAAACTAGTAGAAACAATAAGAGAAATCAGTTGGGTAAGATGACCAATTACCAAATTAATATGATAATATTAGTAATAGGTAACATTTACCGAACCTTTACCTTATGCCAGATTCTGTGCGTGCTGACTCATTCCTCAAAACAACTCTATGATGTTAACTAGGGAAAGGAAGATCTAGAGAGGGTACCTGCTTGCAGTTATGCAACAGCATATCCAGAATACAAAAAATAATAGCTTTTCTTTGTGATAACCAGTTTGAAAATGTAATCATTTACAGTACCAATAAAAAATAAGATATTTAAGAATAGACTCAACAAGAAATGTGAAGAATCTATAAAAAGAAAACCTTAAAATGCTAACCAGGATATAAAAGAAGACTTGTAGAAATGGAAAGACAAGTCATGCTCTTGGATAGAAGTCACAGGATAGTAAATTCTCTATAAATATTTGACAAATGTAATCCCTATAAAATAGCAACCTTTTTTTTCATATAGCTAGAATCATTCTAAAGAGCATATAGACAAATAAATGTAAGTATAGGTGGAAAGCAAGGGAGGACTAAGCTATCAGGTATTTAATACTATTTTAAAGATGCACTGGCACCTTAAATAAAAATACACAGTGTTGGAAGAGATTTTAAAACGGTCTAGAAATAGACCCAAATACTTATGAGATTTAGTGTATGTCTTTGGTATAGTGTTTGCAAAGATGGCTAGAAGAAGTTGAGCCATTCCTGGAGGCATGTCCGCTTGCACTATATCTTTGCCACTTTTCCCATCATGGGGTGGACTCTATTTCCCTTCCTATTGAAACTGTTTTGGCCTTGTGACTTGTTTTGACTCACAGAAAGCTATAGAAGTGATATGTGACTTCTGAGCTTTGGTCTCACAGATCTTGTGGCTTCTGTTCTCACCCTCACTTTCTTGCTGCCATGAAACAAGCCTGGGTCAGCCCCTTTAGGGTGAGAGATTACATGGAGGGACAGGGTCAGTTGTCTTGTCCCATTATCCCTGCTGAGTGCCCCAGGCAGAGGAGGAAGGCCATCCAGGACCAGTCAGCACCTAGACAACCTACCAAGTGACTGTACTTGCAATATATGTTACCTGAGGTGAGACCAGAAGAATTACCTAGGTGAGCCCACATCAAACTGCAGGGAGCAAATAGATAGTGGTTGTTTTAAGACACTAAGTTTTGAGGTAGTTTGTTTCACAGCAATAGATTACTACTTATTCAAGTGTGAGCTAACAGTATAATGCCCACTAAACTGAGAAGATATTCTGAGATCAAAGAATGAAGCAGGCAACTCCACACAGTTTACAAGGAGCTTATTATTATTATTATTATTATTATTAATGGGTGGTTGCTTACAGGGTTCAGGAGGAGTATCAGTCCATCCAAGTGCTGTGCACTTGCTTTCTGCATACCCTGGCAAGGGGGGAGAGATGAGGCTTATAAGGGACTTAGAGAGAAAAGTGGAGCGATGTCAAAGGAGGAAAGGTTGTGGAAGTGCAAGATTCCCAGGCACTCCGCAGCTACCTCTGTTGCTTATCTTTGAGGTTGCCAGTGTCACTCCCTTTATCTCAAGCATAGCATTCTGTTCCTGTTCCTCCCTCAGTTGCTAAGCAACTTGTACAGGGGAAAAATTGTAACTATTGAAGCCAGAACCCCAAAGGCCACAAGGATGGAGTGAGTTCTGACCAGCATTCCTACACTTTAGCCCCTGACATCCAAGTGGCCCTCACAGTCTTATCCATCAACCTTCCTAGGGCGAGGGCCCTAGGGCAAGATATCAGGAGGTGATTTATTCATTCAGTACAGAAAGGGGCTATGGAACCTAAAATTCTATGTTCAGCATGTATCCATTCTAGCTTATCGCAAACATGATAGGTTGTAGGTATCTTTGAAACATTAGTTCTCTAACAAAAGAGTATATATTTTGTGTCATCCAGATTGAACAGTACAGTGGGTTTTGTTTTAGTATTTAAGGTTCCTAAAGGGTCCTTAGTGTGAGTAGCCAGCAGCTCCACACAGAGTTCCCATTCAGTTCTGTTAAAGGGAATAACCGTCCATGGTATCCTTTCTGAATTGGACATTGGCAGCAATCCATATACCCAGCAATTTGATCAGTTGTGAGCTTCAGCATACGGGGCAGCCCAGGACAGAAAGGCATTCCCTGATGTTGCAGGCAGGAACCTGAAAATGGGGAAGCTAAGATGATAAGACAAATGTTTTTAAAGGCATTAAACAAGGTACGTCTACATCTAGTAACAACATAGTTGCTGTTTGATCACCATTGGTCAACATCACTCCTGTTTGGGGCATTTTCCTGGGTGGGCAATACAATACATTTTCGCCTTTGATGTTATCAGTTGGTACAGGTATATCATAGATGGGGACCTCAGTTGGAAACCATTATGGTAAGCTTACCTCTGTCCCCTTCTTTATGAATCCCAGGGAGGCTATAGTAGCCACGGTAGGGTGATATGGTTATAAGGCAGATGAAAAGTCCATAGTTTGTTGTGGGCCTCAGCCCGCTCCTGTACATCATGTCTGGTGAAATGAGTCCCTTGATCATTATCTGTTTGAGCCAGGATCCCATACATGTTTTCCAACTTTGTGAGTCCCTTTATTGTAGCAACTTGATTTGCCTCTTTATGGGCAAGTCCAGTGGCAGTGTCTGCGCAAGTCAGAATGTACTTGTGTCCCTCCGATATTAGCAGTGAGCCAGTGTAATCTATCTGCCATCAAATGGCAGGGCAGGTAGAACACCCAATGTGTTCTGGCATGTCTTAGGGGATATCATCTCAAGTGACGCTGTGGACAATCCTTGCCTGCAGCCTGAGGTTCTGAATATTTTATGGGCTGATGTAATCTCTTCATTATTTCCCACATTGTTTGTTTGTGGGCTCTGATGGCCAGACTTATGATAAACCCAGTCAGCTACATCGGAGGGTGTTAGTAAGTCCCCTGCAAAACAGCTCAGGCTCAGTTAAGGCATCAGCCTCGTGATTGCCTAGCAAGATGGTTGAGGAGTGAGCTGACACATGCCATACAGACACCTGGGCTGCTGACTGAGCACAGACTCCCCACATGTCTCTCCAACATCCCATAGTGGCTTACAAAGTATTGTCCAGTCTTCTTGGTGCCACTGTGGCATCCAAGTAGTCAGGCCTTTCCACATAGCCCAGCTGTCCATAGCTATGTTAAATGGCATCAATTTGTGGGTCAATATGATCCACATTGCTTGTAGTTCAGCCCACTGCCTGCTCTGTTTTATTCCCTCCTCAAACCAGATAATGTCAGATTCCAATCAGATGGCAGAGGAATGCCAGGCGGGTGGATTTCCTTGGCTCTTACTTTGTACAAGGTATCCTGGGGAGGGGTGCCTATGCCTTCCCACACTTGTGGGAGGAATGGAGTGAATTGTCTGCTAGTTTGGGAGTGGGGTCTGGATCCATGTATGTAATCAGCCCCAACAGCATGTGCAGTTCTTGTGACAACGGACTAGTGTCGTAAGAGGTCCATTGTAAGTACGCATGCCATTTCTGTAATGTGCTTACCTGAGCACT